GGACCGCGGGGGTTGCGTGCCCCGGAGCCGAGCCGGTCGGGACGCGCCGGGGTGTAACCGAGCGGGGGCTGGGCTTTGTCCGTGTCCCGACCCTGGCCCAGCGCCCTCAGAGAGAGAAGAGAGCAGCTCTCCCCGTGACACAGCCGATGGCTTGTGCTGTGGAGAGTCTCCGTGAAAAACGTAACGACCCTCTTGCACAGTGCGTCAGAAATACCGACAGACTTTATATAGAGGGTGTCTCCGTCCCTGAGGCGCTTGCTTGAGAGGAGGAAAGAAGCGAGGGCCGACAGGAGCACACAGGAGTGAGCGGGCGTGGGTGAGAGCAGTGCTGAGTTGCAGGTGCCAGCTTTGCGCTTGTACTTGCTCCTTGCACCTCTGAAGCCGCCTGAATCAAGTGGATTTCTGCGTTTGAAATCCTGTTTATGCAACTCGGAGAGCAAGTTTAAGAGGAAAAGAAAGTACACTGCAGCCATAATGCTACATATATGTGCTTCAATAACTGGTGACACTAAGTGACACTGAGGGATCATATATTCATCACAATATAGTATCAAATGTCTCTTCCCAGACAGATTGTTATCAGTCAAACTTGTGAACTCCATAGTAAACTCAGGCCCTTCCTCTCACTACATCATTGTGCCACTCTCTCAATTTAATTTTGAAACTCATTATGAAAATGTATTTTTGTTGTTCTGCTGTGATTTTGACAAAAAATCTAAAGTCTCTCACATGCACACACACAGAGCAAGTAGAATCCTTGTTCAAACGCCAGAACAGTGGTATTTCATTAACACGATATTAAATGTGCAGGAAGCTTTCTATGTGAGAGGACAAAATATGGTTTTAAAGACGCAATCACCATTATCTCTTGAATGCCTTTCACTTTATCTGCTGAAACTAATCAACTGCACACTTAGTTTAGTGTTGCTGCATCTGACTGTGTAGAGGTGAGATAGTCTATAACTTTGGCGGGATGGCTAATCCCTGTAATAAGCAACAGGCAGTTCACAACGTTAAGGCTATAAGGGAAGACATCTGTTTAAAGTGCAGAAATTGCACTCGTACTCCATCCTCATGGTATATATTGCATCTGGTTCTCAGTGTAATGGAAACTTGCTTCCCCCTCACTTCCCAAAGGAAAACTCACACTGGAATGTGTTTTTACACTAGGAAACTTGTGGTATCGAAATTTTTTTTAGCTCAGTTATTTCTCGGTGTGTTGCAAAACACTTCTTGAGAACTTTTTCCTTATTAGTGGCACCTCCAAACAGAGAAGATGTGATATATTAATACTGCTTCTCTAATGTCGGAGCATTAAGTATTTCTGATTGATGGCACTGGACATTATGTGTTCAAATGGCTGTGCCTCATGCCTTAAATCCTGGGAAATAAACCATGCTGTGAATTATATGTTACCCATCTGTAAGAAATCACGTTGCAGTTTCTTGTAAAGCAATGCTGGTTTTGTGTACAAGCCTTGGTGCTTACAAAATGTGGTATGCCTGCCTCCGTACTTTCAGTCAATTCACAGAATCTGTTAAAAAGTTGGTTCCTTTAGTAAAACAAATTCAGTATTCAAAATATATTTTTAAAAATCTCTTGCTGCTTTTCAAAGATATTTAAATAAATCTAGTAAAGTTTTATTGACACTTCTGCTAAGAAGGATAGAATAAGATACTTTAGTATTTAAAAAATGCTGTGAATTTTTCTCCACCAAAGTAGTAATTTCTGTAGGATTTTTTTATTAGTCATCATGACTCTTCAGAGCAGGATTTCAGTGGAGTTGACTTAGCAATATAATTTTGCAATGCAGAGGAAGTTGTCTTCCCCTTCCAGGCACCTGAAAATAACTGGATGATACACAGAGAATACGTTGGCCCAATCTTATTTAAATGAAGTAACTTTAGTGTATTTGTGTGAATTCATCTGCATATTAAGCTTTATTTCTTTCAGCCACGTTTCTATAAAAACAAGTACCTTAAAAGCATTTCCAAAATATATAAGGCTTGATTTTAGCCCCAAGTAAAGGGAAGATACCTGTTAATATTTTATTTTGGGTAATTTAGGCAGTGACAGTGAATTTAGTTTTATTTCAGTTTGTGGGTTTTTCAAACAAAACCGAAAACTGATGGGAACAATAGGTTTTGGGGTACCAAGTTATGTATAGAGTTGTCTGTGTAAACCATATTCAGCGTCATTTTCATAAGCTCTGTGAAAAAAAAAGGGTGAAAGGATTTTTGGGTTTTTCAAAAGAAACCCAAAACTGATGGGAACAGTGTTTTTGGGGGTACAAAGTTATGTTTAGAGTTGTCCATGTAAACCATATTCAGCATCATTTTCATAAAGCTCTGAGAAGAAAACAGGTGACAGGATGCTATAGTGTTGATTTGCTTCAGATTTGAAAAGGCATGGCCACATAATCATTTCAAGCTGACATAAATGTCAGAAGGCACCAAAACGGGCAGCCTTCCTGCTTCTGTAGTTCAGGTCCCCGTAAGCTAAATGAGGGTACTTTCTCAGCTGAAAACTAAGAATCTTCCTTCCTGTGGGTTAAGTTTAGTGATTTAGTTCGCCATGCAGCTGTATGAACGCTACTTGTAATGGTTTTTCCTACCACTTCCCATGTGTATCAGGGAGGGATGCATCACACTTTTTCTGGCAGCACCAATATAGGCCACATTGAAGTAACCATGTAACTCTAGCCTAAGGGGAAATGGGGAAACAGTACTACGAAAGAAAAACTGAAGGCTGTAGCTGTGATCTACTCTCATTCAGTTAACTTGAATAAAGTCATAGCATAGAGGAAACAGATTGTTTTGCTTTAAGTAACCTCTTGCCTATATGCTTATATCTGGATTGCAGAGTATATTCCAGACTGAATAGATTTGTGGTATCTTGACAGTTTTTATAGTGCAGATGATTCTGATTTTTTAATTTTATTATTTTTTTAATTGTTTTGACAGATGAGCTGAGTTCCTGGATACAGCAGTCTTTTAAACATTATGTTACGCAAGAAGCTAAGCAACACTTCAACGACTATGACAAAGATGGTGATGGATTAGTGTCTTGGAAAGAGTATAATATGCAAATGTATGATCGTGAAATTGATTTTGATGAGAACACTGTCCTGGAGGATCAAGAAGAAGAATCATTTCGACAGGTAAAACGTTTCAGCATCAGTTTCTGTAAGCTGTTGGCAAAAGGCACCAATGTTTGTTTATTGTGACAGAATAAGATGGGTAGAGAAGCCATAGCAGCTGGAACATGTTTTAACAGTATCTGAGATAGGCGAGTAATTAAAGGAAAGCAATGCAGTATTAAAGCTGCTAGCAACAAAACAGAGACAGAATAAAATTGTACCTCTTGAGTATATTTTGCTAGCTGAGTGGAGTATCAGTCTATTGACACTCTTATTACAGTCTCCAGCCATCGTCTTAAAACAAGATGGCAATCTATTAGATTAGGTCTGTAGCCTAACCAGTGTCCTGCCTTCAGCAGGGGCAGTACCACTGGTGTTGGAGGTAAAGGAAACCCTTGTACTGTTTAACCCCCTTTATTGCACTCTTCTGTCCACTTTCTCAGTTATTTCTCAAGTACCCGGTGTGGGGTATCAATATTGCCTGCTGTAACATTTTCCGTCTGTTAGAGACCCATAGAGAAAGCAATAGCAATTTGACATTTTTAGCACTCAGAATGCAACTCTGATTGCTAAAATGGGATGTATAAACAACAGAAGTTATGGATTAATCTCATATATGAAAGCGGGTACTTAAGAGTGGAAGTGAAAGAGGCAAGAGACGCAGGGAGGAAAGGTTCACCAAGAATCACCACATAGCAAAACTTGTTTCCTTTCAAGTTACACATTTATAAGTACATGTAAGTATTTCCCAAAAAGAAAATAAGTCAGTTTTTAGACTATTCTGGCCTGAGTTTTTTCTTTCCCTGTGGGGATTGCTTTGGCTGCTTTTAGTAAAGCAGTAGTAGATAATACAGGATCTTGGCAGAAGTGAAGCTAAAAGAGGCAACGGGCAGGGGATTTTACACACTGAAGAAACAAACTGTAAAGCCTTGGAGGTCACTTAGCTAAATAATTACATAGTTTTTAAATAAAACAAGACTTTAAAGGGAACTACCAGTCAAAATATTGATCCCATGTTTGAGAAATTGCCATCATAGATCTGTATGTTGAGCTAGAACAACTACTCACTTATGCTATACTTTGCTTGCTTGCTAGGTTTTCCTGCTTGCGGACTTCTTCAACATATATTGTAGAGAGCAAAATTAGCAGCTTTGTACAAGCATTATAATGCTTCAGCATTATAATCTTCAGCATTTTCCTTACATTTGGAAATTAGCGATCCTGCTGTAGTCAAAATGGAAGAGTTAGACTATGGTATTGAGTTAGAATTGACATCGAGTAAACACATGAATTTACCAGAAGGTGGCAGCCTTGCTCATCACTTCTCTAAAAAACCAGTGAAAAATAAGCTTTTTCCCTCAATAGTTCAAGTTTATGGTGCAGTCTAGTACTATCTATAGTCAGTCCTTCTGAATTGCCTTTTCCTATTTAACTCTCAGCTAAGGTCAGCTTTTCTTTAAGAGTACATTTAATTATTTTGCAGAATAGTTAAGATCTTGTAATTATACTGTATTTGTTACATGTTCTGCTGTGCGTTAATCAGGTTAGCCTAATTTTGAGAAAAGTGTCGATAAATAGGATATAAACCTGGAAGTACAATTTCAGATGGTTATTTTAAAAGTATTTGTGATCTCTGGTTTGCTGGCCGCTCCCCTATCCAGATCAGTGTTACACTGATAACACACTTAATCATGGGATTCCAAAATTTTTATAGTTCGCATCACATGCAGTTTGAGTATAGATCAGTTATCAATGGCCTGTGTCTTTATTTTGTCTAAAGAGACTGTACGAAATGAAATGAGAAAAAAAAAATTTTCACATTTGTAATACAGAAATGAAGTGCAAGACATTCAGAAATAAGAACTTACCTCCTTATTGTGGATATTATTTATTTTTAAAAGGCACACTAATATTTATACTTAAAACAGGTTGGAGAAATGGCTTTGCTTTGAAATATGTTCAGATGTAATGGACAACAGTCTTGTATTAAAGGAATCTAATCCTTCAGTACTTAAAATGGCTTCAGAGAAGACATTTTACATATATGGTATTTCAAGACTTTCTTTGAACTACAGACAGCCCTTGATATAAATGAGATGTAGATCTAGAAGGTTAAGTATCCTTAAAATGAAAAATTTGGAATTTGCAATGGCTGCCGTTAATTGTAATCATTGTACTCCACTAGATTAGTTTGGGAATTGGTGACTTTTAGAAGAGGAAGCATGTATGAACACAAGAATTCTTGGTCTTTTCATATCTCCCTTTTGTATCTTTGAAGCCTTCGCTAAGAGATTGTTTTAAATGTCTCCTTAAGTTTTTATGCGATTCTTAGAATAAAACTACCTCAATTAAAAGTGCTGTTCTCATTGCTCTGGATGAGCTCTTTTTAGTGAAAATACATCAGTATAATATGAGTGGATAATGTGAAACAATTAATACTCTAATGAGCTTACAGCCAGCTACTGTAATGTTGTTTTTCCTTTTCATTAAGTGCTCTAACTAAATCTATTTTCTAAGCTTCATTTAAAGGAGAAAAAGCGTTTTGAAAAAGCTAATAGAGATAATGTCCCTGATCTAAATGTGGATGAATTTGTTGCTTTTGAACATCCTGAAGAGGTGGAGTATATGACGGTAAGATTTAAGAGAGGATCTTTTATCAGCCTATGTATATAGATGCAACATCTTTTTAATGCGTGTGTTTAGCCCCAGTACTACAGGAAGTATGCTTCTGAGCAGTTATGTCTATTGCTTTTACAGACCAAATTAAAAATCAAGAAATGTGCTGTGGATCCAGTGGTGGAGATCAGGAGCTGGAGCAGTAGTTCCATGCTTTTCTTTGAAATCTGTTTCAAGAACTAATATTGAACAACTATCCCAAACTTTTGGGATTGGACTGACATAGCTCTTTCTAAACTCTGTTAGGTTGGAAATACATCAGTGAGATTTTACCTTGAGGAAATTTCATGCCTAGTTCAGAGTTTAGCTCTAGTTAGGGGGACTTACAGGGAAGATTTCTTTGCACATGAAAAGGTCAAGTGCCAGTTACTCTCACTTTGCTTAAAGGGAAACAATAGTCACTTTTCTGGCCAAAAAAGAGCATTCAAGCCTGTCTGAAGCCTTAATATTGACTCTACTGCGGTCAGAGTTTGGGGGATTATTGTTTCAGCCAGGAGAACTTTGTCATTGGTCATCTGTTTCATCACTGCTGTGACTGTTGGTGTCATTCCAGCTCAGTAGTGACAGGTGACCCCGGTTAAAAGTACATTGGTGCTTTTCTGCAACAGAGCCTTCAGTTTTGGCTATCTGATGCTGCAGAGCCAACTGCCAGGAGGTGCAGCGTGCAAACAGAGCCTCTGTTTGTGTTGACATAACTGTTGATGATGGACAAAGAAGAAAAGGCAGAACTACAAGAACACGCCCACTGGGAAACACAGGACCAAAAGACAAACTAGTTTTCCTCACAATTTTATAAAGTTGCAAAAATGCAGATTAGTGAATATATCACATGAAAAGAGAGAAATGAAATGAGATAATATAGCTTTGTACAAATTCATGTTTCTCAGCTACTTTTGTAGTTTTGACTTACGTTGAAGGATTCCAACTCTGTGTACATCTTTCAGATTTGGTTTTCATAAAACCTGACATCCTAAACTCCTAAGAACAGGTCTGTTTTGTTGCACAGGAACCAATTACTGCACTAGTCTGTATAAAACAGAAAAGCAGATTTGAAATGAGGGAGTCTTTATTGTAAAGAACACCTTATTGCTCTAAAAAAATTATTGCTCTTTCTCTTGATTACAAGTTGCTAATTTTTCACAAATTGATATTTTGCTTTTTGTATGTATATAAAAGGACTTTGTCATTCAGGAGGCTTTAGAAGAACATGATAAAGATGGTGATGGATTTGTTAGCCTGGAAGAATTTCTTGGTGATTACAGAAGAGACCCAAGTAAGGAAAAAGGGTGGGGGCATGAAAGAAGGAACTGAACAAAAGCTTTTGCAATGGGGTGAATTGTAGGCACCTATATTTTCAGCTTTTTACACCTCCACCTACAGATTCTGAGTAACATTATCCTGTCTTTTAGAATAATTCAGTTTCCTGGTACTGGGCTCATTATTTCAGTCTGCCCTGTATGTATTTGGCAGTAGTTTGTGTATAGCCCGTTCCACTGTTTCCTTGCAAGTTACTTCCTGTTTTCCTAAAGACTGAAGCATATTCCTCATCACTGGGTATGCAGCTGAAATAAGATGCAGTTTTGCTAACTGAACACATCTGCGAAAACAGCCAGCATGAATGTAAGGTTAGATTTTCCTGCCTTTATCAGCTTAAGGTGGCAGCTGTCAGCCTTGCTTTAGAGGGATTGAAGCTGTGTGTGTTTTAAGAGAGGCGGAGGGGAAGTGTAAGGAGTCCGTTCACTGTTCCAGATAGCAAAAGCCTATCTGATTTCACTTTTTGTTTTTTTTCCGCTCTTGCCCTTCCTTAAACTTGATCTATTCCTTCTTTAACAAGAAAAAGGACACTTACCTGGTGTTTATCAATGCTTTTCTCTAGCTATATTGCTAATAGATAAATATTTTATATGCTGTGTTTGATTTGCTGCAAGATAGGGCAAATAGCTCCTCCAGTTCCAAAAAGACTAGTAGCTTGAGGCATGTGGAAAGTCTCCTTGGTCCTAAGGAGTGCTAATTCTTAAGTGTGGACCAGCATCCTAGCTGGGGAAAATGTTTAAGCCACATGAGGGTATGGAGAAATAGGGGAATAGTCAGTTTTTCTTCATTCCAATCAACCACCTGATATTTCACCTTTTATAACCATCTTTGTTTGCCAGAGCCAGTGAGAACAATAGATCTCTGGTGCAACTACAGGGTCTGTTATCTTTTTCCTGCTCTGACTTTTCCAAGCCAGTCTAGCCAAAGCTGTTGGAAAGGGAGTGGAATTGTTGCTGGGGTCCTTGCAGTAATAAAGAAGATAACAGCTTTGTCGTTAAAACTTTTTAGCAAGAATTCAGAATCAGCTGTAATTGTAGAAACTACTTCAACTTTTCTCCAAATGGCCATCTCTTCTGCAGACAGCGTTCCTGCAGCACACTCTAAAATGACTAATAAACTACATGGTGGGTCTGGTATCATAATTGTCTTGTGGTTTTGGGCAACAGTGTATGGTGAATTGTGACATTAAGGGATAATCTACTTGCAAAACTAGATGTTAGAAAGGAAGGAGAGAGACTTTATAATAGAAACCTAATTATTTTTAAACTTATCTGCTTGTGATGCCAACTACTTTTGACTTTCATAAGGTTTAGGAAGTCTTAATACCTGTTCATGGTTGTCTGCAGTGTTTATCAGTTTGATGAATTGTTTCTAAATTTCTTGGAAGAGTTAGAGACGAGTTTAAGATTGCTGGCTAGGTTGCAGGATGCAATACCAGGGCATAGGATAAGTATAAAACAAGTATACAAATAAATAGCAACAGTAAATGAAATTGCTTTGGGTATATTCCAAATATTTTAGAAAAAAAAAAAAAATTAGACAGTAAACTAATTTGAAAGCCTGCAGTATTGGCCTGAGTCTATTGAGCCTGCACTAACCAAGAGCTTTGCCTTCTCTGTCACCTGTCACAGATGGACCTCCCTTGATGTTAAAGCAGGGGAACAGACAGTAGAATGTTACTACAAACTTCATATAGCCTTATGCTTTCGTAATCCCATATACTGCAAAACATTATTTATCTACCTACTTTTTGGGACACTTGTTGACTTAAAACTTTTCCCTGCTTTCCTCTGCCCATTAAGTGCTGAGATGACCAATGTCTGAGGCCTATAGTATTGCTCATACTGCTGTGATACTCTCAACATGGTATCTACAACATGATTGCTATACATTAATGGGAGAGAGTAATCTTAACTCAGTCAAGGTAAATACTGCAAATGTAAGATATCCCTGTCATCCACTTTTTCCTACTGATATGTCAGCTGTCCCGGTAAGTAGGAAACCATCTACTTGGCAGCACATTCAGTAGAAAGTATGCTTTTCTACTATCAATTTGGGTAATTGTGGAGATACTAAAATAAACAGTTCAGTTGATCGTAAACCTTGACTTTAATGTCTGCTTAGTTCAACTGTAAATTTACAATCTTAATATTACCTTAGCTTTAAATTCTGTTTTATTCTGTACAAGTGTTTTTTTCATATGTAGACAGATGCATTTATTTAATCTATTGGGACTTGTCTGTAAGGCTTGTCTTTGTTTAGTGAAATCACTTTTACGTTATGTTTTATAAGATTAAATGAATTTGCTTAGGAGAAAAGGTGAAAACATCTGCTTTAAGGTAAAGAGTGGCTTTAAACTTGACAAATGTGTCTTACTAGCTGCAAGGGAAGATCCAGAATGGATACTTGTTGAGAAGGATCGGTTTGTGAATGACTATGACAAGGATAACAATGGAAAACTGGACCCTCAAGAGCTGTTGTCTTGGATAGTACCTAATAATCAGGGTATTGCACAAGAGGAGGTATGTGTTTTGACTGCTGTTTAGCTTTTAATTAATGTAGTAGAATTTTGAAGGTATCACATCAAAATGATAGATGCATTCAGATTTATCATGTCTTAGTAGTTGAAAAAGAATGCTTAGTAGACCTTTGCGTACATTTTTAACCTTTTTTCAGTTTGACAAAGAATGCAGGTCCTTTAACTGCGTTAAGCAAATTTGAAGTTCCTGTTAATTGTATGAATGTTTGTAAATTAACAAAGTGCTTTTCTACATGTTTAAATAGCTTATCTAGTTTGCCTTAAGGGTACAGTATTTTAATCAGTTATTTTTTAGTTATTGTAGGCAAATCTGATGAGATATACTACTAAAAGAAGCTGTTACATACTGCCAGCATAACTTTGAAAACAAAAATTCGTTGTGAGTCTTCTAACTGGCTAAATCACCATAATTTGTAGAACTAAAAACTTGTCTTTTCCTAAGTGCAAGAAAATGGAAGTATTCTATGATTCAGGATGCTGTAATGCAAACTTTGATGATGATAATTAAAATAGTTTAATCAGGGGTAGAATGCCATAATAGGTTTAAGTGGATTCTCGCTTTAGCTGTCTTTATTTTTTTTGTAGCAGGCAGTAGAAGCACTGAGTGTTCCAGAACAGCCTGTTTTAGTAGACAGGCTTTACAGTCACCCAGTCACCGACTGCAGTAGAGAGGATTTCTGCCTTTCCGCTACTAACTTTTTATCTTAATCTGCCCAAGTCTCTTTCCTTTGCACTGGAGGATTTTGGTGTTCAGAATGGCAGGAACAACAGGTTTTCCCAAGCCTCCAGAATCCCTGCTAAAGACAGGAGACGCTTTGTGTCAAACAGCATAGCCCACCTGCTGCGTTGGCCCATCTCATTACTGAGGTCCCACCTCTTCCTTTTTCAGCTCTGTTGGTGGCAGAGAAAGCGAGGTGACTGGCACGCAGCATGGAGTGTTCACGTATCTAACCTTGTAGGAAGCTAAGCTGTTCAGTTGCTCTAGTAGTATTTTTGGAAATGTGGATCTGTAAGCCTTTGCACAGACTTTTTTTAACATCTGACTCTTGAAGGTGGATGGTTCTTACTTCACAGAAACAACACTGTTGTAACTGACATGAATTCTATGTGGTGTGGAGTCTATTTATACCTGGGTTGATTTGCTTGCTTGGGGTTTGGGTTTTTTTTAGAAGTTCTTCACTATTCATTCAAATTTTAGCTTACAGCAAGTCCGTGCTGTAGTAATAGCTCAGTTCTGCAAGAAGTCTTTTTTTTATTTGTTTCTCCAATATGCTATTTTTTTTCTTCTTCAGTTAATATAAGGGCTTAGCAAAGTCACCTGTCCTAAAGAGAAGGTAGCATTGACTTAAGTCATAACCTGCTGTTTGGAAGCTGAATATTGCAGTTTCCTTTCGGCATTTCAGAATGACTTGAGAAACCTGGTAGCTAAATAACATAAAAATAGAAAAATTACTATACATTACATTACCAGGAATTAATATGTGTTTACCAAGATGTTTGTCTTTATAAACTTTTAGCTTTTGCCATGCAGAGTGCTTTTAAAATCTGCTTGTCTGACATTAGTCCCTGTTCTTTTCTTCAGTCCTTTTTGGTGATGTAGTCAGCTTAAATGTAAGTAATACTTAATTTTAAAAAAAGCCACTTAAGCAGTTACGTTGAGCCAAACCAATCAGAAAAAGTAGGAACAGAAGGACTGTCTAAATCACTGTATTTAGCAAATAAATGTTTAGCAAATAAAACCAAAAAACATGCAATACTAGGACTCCTCTATCTCTCAGAAATAGTAGGTGCAACAGAGCTGCTGTACTAGCTTGTTAGCTTTGAGCTAGGTAATATTTGTGAATAAGCTACAATTAAAATATGCTGCAAATGCTTTTTTGTTTTACTGCTGAACTTTCCTCCTTTTATATAAATAAGGAAAAACCTCAGAATTATTTTAACGTGCAGTTTCATTTGACATTGTCATGATTTAGTATTTAAAAGGTTTTTTTCAGAAAAGCAAGCTTTTGCTTTCAGCAAATGAGAGAAAACATGAATTACTACCCAAAGTTGAAGTTCCTATGCATAGATGGCTTATCTTGTCCACTGCTGAAGACAGAAAACCCTTTTTCAAGGTGGACATCAAATACTTTCCAGTTACATTTTAATCATGAATTATAGCCATGGAGCATTTTTTGCAATCATAAATAGATAGAGAGTATTGAGCTGCAAATCTCTATCCCTGCTTTCTTTGTTTTTTTTCCAATATGCACATCTGATGGAAGAGCGCATCTCCGCAGGTACAGGAAATAAAAACTGGCTTAGCACGGTAGGCACCTCCAGAGTTGAAAGCAAGCGTGCCTGCGGCTTAACCCGAGAGCTGTAAATGATGCTTATCTTGTCAGACACAGGGTAAATGCAACTGAGATAACCAGTGCTCACTTCTGAAAGAGGATGCTCAACTTAAAGACTGTATTGGCTCAAATCCTAGCTGAGGTCCGACAGATTAAGGACTTGCTATTGTGGCTGTCATGCAGTGCCTGAATGTCCAAGAGGGGCTCTCTGAAAACACAGGGTCTTTAGCTGACATGCTAAACTTGCATTTTCTACAGATCATACACTGAAGATGTGTACTGCACTTGCCTATGGATTTCAAGGACTACGGGTGCTTCCAGGAAGATGATTAATCTTTGCTGGTTTAAAACTCTCTTCCGCCCTCTAAGTAAAGCTATGGGTTTGACATTGATTTGTTGCTTTAGAATTGCTAGTGAGGGTAGAGATTTGATAGTATGATTTTGCCACCAAATGAAAGAGGCAGAGGGAAACAAACCAAGGAAAGAAAGGCTCTGTTGCGAATGTAAAATCTTGTCTAGTTTGTTACAAATAATGGTGGTGTGGCAGGACTTTGACAAAGCCATTCCAAAAGCATTATTTATAAATGCTCGTATCTATTAACTGTGCACGTGGTGTTCCATTTATTTTAAAGGCTCTTCACCTTATTGAAGAAATGGATTTGAACGATGATAAAAAGCTTTCTGAAGCAGAAATTCTTAAGAACCAGGATTTGTTTCTTAACAGTGAAGCAACGGATTATGGCAGGCAGCTTCATGATGAACGTTTCTACCATGAAGAACTTTAGATTATTTATTTCGTAATCTGTTTTTCTTCCCTTTCTTTCATTTGGAGCTTTTGTTAAAAGCACCCATCAGCTATGTTGCAAGTTTTATGCTGTAATTACAGTACAGTAATGTTTGTGTAAATAATTTGCATTCAAAATTTAATTGCCCTTCTGCAGACTTCCTTGGGCCTCTTCTAGCCTTGAAAATTAATCTTAAATACTTCCAAAATTATAGAGTGTTGGGAAATAAATTACTTCTGGGTAGTACTGTATTGTGAAGAGTTGTTCTACTGTACTTGAAGAAAATGGAGAATCTAAATGATTCTGAAAGAATGCAAAACAGTAACTGAGAGACTACTATTTTTTCTAATCAGTTTAATTAGGACAGGGAGTTGAGAAGATGGGGGGACGTTTAGAGTCAGTATTAACTGTGTTCTATTTAATACTTTTGGAGTGCCTCAATTGTTTAAGAGGTTTCTACTTAACTTTAAATGGTTTCTATACTGTGTTTTATTGTATCATAAAACTTGCTATTTTTACATCTATAGACAATAATAATTTTTAATGTACAATTCTACAGCATTAGCAATACAATGGTATTTTACAGTGTTAAGAGCCTCTTCATTTGTTGGATTAAAACTTAACATATTCTGTCTTTCTGTGTTTTGTCCGTTTCTTACTTACTGTGGGTCACCCATAGCAACTCCTTGAAATGTGAACAATGTACAGAATGTATATAACATACAAAGGCAACATTGTTAGCTTTTATAAACCAAAACCACATCTTCTCATCTAGATGCTAAAGAAGATTAAAAAAAAGCAATGTGTGCATTTAGCATTTTCTGGACAAGTTTGCAAAAGCAAATGTGTTTGTTTTTTTTTTTAATTTGCAGTATACGGAACTCTAAAGCATCAAGGCATTACATAACATTTGTAGTAATAACCTCTAAAAGTCAACTTTGGTTGAAACCTCCACAATTACAATTCATAAAAGTGAGTTCTGTCCCATTATGTGATTATTTGAAATAGTCTGAAAGGTTAATGGCAAGACAGATTCCATGTAGGAAAGTACATGTATTTGCTCTTTATCTCCTAGAAAGTGACAGAAATGAGCTGAGTATTCTAAACCAAGACAAAGCCTTGCAAAACAGATTGTGTGGTGGATTAGGGTTTTTTTAATTCCTAGATAACGAACTCCTGTAATGCTCTTGCAGTGTTCCTCTTGACTAATGTTTTCCTTTGTCCCAACTCTCTTTTTATTGAGTAAAAGCAACTAGTTCTGCCTTGTTTTTTCCCCAATATACCATTTCTCAATTATTCTCAGAACAGGAAATTCCTTTTGACGTAAGTGTTGAGGTATCATCATTAGAAGGCTATGATTCAGAGCAAAACTACATATACTTTTACTGTATTTTTTTGATATCATAGTGATAGAAATTCAAGATGTTTTTTCAATTTTAGTGGTTGGGGCTTTTTTTCTACCCATGTTTGTTTATTTTGGTTCCTGGGAATGTGAGTACAACTATTGCCATGTTGGTGGTGGGATCTAATTTAAAAAATAAATAAATAAATTCTAATTAAATCCAGCGTGTCCAGGAATATTAAAACAGTTGTTGTCATCTTTGTTGATTTGAAATATACCCCAAAGTTGCCCATTTGTTATTATTCTTTATGGCGTTTTTAAACAAGTCTTAGTGACAGATTCAACTGCATGCTCAGTATTAAAAATGTCATCATCAACTTGAAAGTTCAACTTCCAAAACAAGGAGAGAAAAAAGAATGCCTTTCAAAGGATTGCTTTTTGACTCGGCTCCACGTAATTTGCTGGATTGCAATAATTTGCATAAATCAAGAATAAGAAGAGACTAGTAAAATACCAAACAACATAGCATTTATACAGTCCACATCTTGGAGTCCGTGCAGAACATCCATGTTATTGCTTATTTTAATATTTCTGTAAGCAAATCATGTTAAGTATTATTAGAGCTTAGCTCACTGTAAGATAGAACTACAGCTTTCATCACTTTGCAGCTCTTAGTGTAATTTTATGGGCACAAAAAGTAGTACTTCGAAAGGAAACCATATAGTTGTTAATGTAACTGAAATGTGGATTTGGAGATGTGCTAAGCTCAATCCTTTAACAACGTTGTATTCTGTTGAACGTTTCTGTAATTCCTAGAGTAAATTAATGTAGACTTCTTTTGATTTCTGATAATGTTTTTTTTTTAAATTTGGCTTCTTTCACTTTAGGATTAGAAGCCTAATAGTGCTTTCACAATCTTTGAAAGATTTGTGGCTTTTCATAGTTTAATCCAGTGTTTAGGCAATCCACCAGTTATGTTCTGTGATGTCTATCCAAATGTTCTACACCAGAGTAGCTTCAGTATTTTCAGGGTTATGCATTGACAAAGTCCCTTACCCAGCACTTTTTAACTATACTGAGAAAAAGTGCAATGAAGCAAAGTATCTCTTGAAACTTCTGTTTCACCGTAGTTAGAAATTAAATAGAAACTTTAGTTTTAATGAGTCAGAGCAGAGATTTTCAGCACTCCACTGTGGTGTAATTTATTCTGTGCATTTATAGAAGGAATGACTGGTACCGAGTCTGGGATTACCAGAGCCTTCCAAAGTCACACCCAGAGTAACCCAGGTCAGCCTAGTCTATGTTTGCTGTTGGGCCTGTTCTTTGTAGAAAGTTCAGAGCTGCTGTGTTTGGTGAAGGCTGAGAGCAGTGTCTGGTAGCTCCCTCCTCTCTGCCAGGTTTTACAGAAGGTTTTCCAGGACATCCAGACTGTAGCCATAACCACACGTGCTCAACCATGAAGAGATTTTGGAACAAAAGACTGTCTTGTGCTGTTCTGTCATGTAAAACTGATGCTTTGTTTTGAAAGAGCCTCCAACCACCTATCCTACAGATCAAATAGACTCCTTAGAGGCACACTAAAGAATCCCGTTCTGCCTTACACATCTCCATGCCTCCTCCAGCAACACACACAGCGTAGACTGCACAGCAGAGACTACGGTGATAGCCAAGAGGACAGACTTTGAAAAACTAAGGGACTGTTTGTGCCTGGTTTCTTAGGGACGTAATACCTTGGCAGTCTCTCTGTGTCCTCTCTGTCCCACTATTGGAACTTTGATTCTCTTCTCATTTTCTTGCCAATCACAAACCTCACCAAAGAAAGAAAAACGGGTTGTAGGGATATTTTAGAAAGCAACAGCAGATACAGCTAATGCTACCTTTCATCCCAGAATCTCCTTTTGAAGAATGAGACTTTATTCAGTTAAACTGTGCAACTTCTACCTGCGAAAGTTTGATGAGCACAGTTCAGGTTATGGTCAGCTGGAATAGCTCAAAACAACCAGTCTGAAAAAAACCAAAAAGATCAAACTCAGAATCGAAATCTTGGCTTTGACTTACAGAAAGAATAAAAAGAGACAGTGAGGGTTAAGTGTCACATTTTCTTTGTCAGTACACTGTGGTTTGAGGTGAAGAGGCATCTTATTTCAGCACTTTGTACTGAAGGTCTCTGGCCTGTTACATCTGATCGCACTTTGTAAGCAGCACACGCAGAATATTCCCAATTCAAATATTAAAGCTAGTTAAAGGACTGTATCTCCATGTAATAACCACTCAGGTTTCTGAGAGAGAGACTGAGCATTCTTCTTGGCAAGGTAACCTCATTGTCATCCTCAAAATTAGTTATCCCTAATTAGGGGCGGTCCCCAACTCTGTGGGAGTATGCATTAGGATGATTCTTTGGACAGTGTCTAAGTGACAGAGACTTTCAGAGGAACAAATACTAGCTAGACTCAATGCACAGAGCAAAATTCCTCTGCTTGTTCCAAAATCCTTTCATTTATAGTATCAAGGATCTAGCAAAATTTGATTTGCAACTAAATATTGCATTTAAAAATGTCAGGCGAACAGGGCGAAGGGAGAATAATATGACAGCAAATAGATGAAGTATCAATATTGCAGAGCTTAGCTTTGCAAAGTTTTCCAGAACACGAAGCAGCTCATACATTTGCTAACTACAAAAACACATCCTACCAAAAGCACAGCTCTTGGCAAGGAAAATGGATGGGTGACAGAACAAGCAAAGTTACATTGCTGGTGTAAACAAGCCAGACTTCTCAGAGGTGCACAACAAAGTGACAGGAGGCAACAGTCACAAGTTCCAGCAAGGGAAATTCTGACAAGATTAAAATTTCACAGTAGTGGTGGTTAAGCAATGAAATGGGCTCAGAGAGGCGGTGGAAGAATTTCCACCCTGGGGATAGTCAGAGCTCAAAAAGGTCTTGGGCAATGTGATCCGTCTTTGAAGTTAGCCCCACTTGAAGCAGGAGACTGAAGGGGAGACTTGCCTTGCACAGATCAGGAGGAACAAATAATCCTGTTTAAAGTGATCCTATCTAAACCATTTGGCAACATATGTTGATTTTTCCATACATTTTAAATTATATTGAGTATGCAGCATTTCCAACTACAAGCTATCCTTTGCTCCTCTGTCTTAAAAAAACAAGAGCTTGCTAGAAGTAACAAAAAAACCTCTCAGAAGGTGAACACTGATCTCGGTGTTGGTTTTAAGGAGCAGCTATTCTTGTTATAACATGTATATTATATGTGTATATCATAGAATGGTTTGGTTGGAAGGGACCTTAAAGATCATCTCTTTCCATGGGCAGGGACACCTTCACCAGAGCAGGTTTCTCAAAGCCCCATC